GCATCTACAGCGGATTTACTGTCAGTAAGGATTCTAGCAGAATTCCAATCCTCGGATGGGTGCTCTAGCCAATCCGCTGCCGTCAGTAGAGCTAGCATCACGGCATCAAAGGATGAGCTATAGTATGCGCCCCTTCTCCTAGTCGTTGCAACTGTTGAGTAGCTATTTCAGCTTCCCTTCCCCACCACGACTTCAGTGCCTTCCTGTCTGCATCCATCTATTGCCGAGCCGTCGATATGAACAGAGACCTTTCAGATAGGGAGTTGAGCGTAGCCTCCATTCGTTGCCCGTTTTCTACCATCTCCGATTTGCTGCAAAGATCTTCAAAATGCCTTAGAATAGTGATGTTCGGACGTCGCCCGTATAATTAGTAATATTAGTAACATTATTAGTAGTAATAGTGGTAGCAGTAATAGTAGTAGCAACAGCGATAAAGTATTAAACTCATGTTTCAGACAACAAAGTGCCGAAAAGAACCTTGTTAGCACCCGGTGCACAATCGGATTTTCGATGTCAGGATCATCAGAGCAACGACTGAGAGCCGTCGGGTCGACGCCCAAGAGATGGGCCTGTCTCCGAGTGGCAGAAGACGGCTCACCGGTCTCCGGCTCAAGTAATGCCAGTTGACCATCCATATAGTGTCTGAACGCGTCCACAACATCCTCGTTGGTCAGGACAGCCTTGAGGAGACGTTTCACTTGGGGAACAGTCAACTTCTTCTCATTGGCTATACTTTCAAGGCGTTCAGCAAGCGAGGCTCCCATGTTCAGCTGTAAAGAAAAAAATTCTTAAAAAGTCGCACGATAGCAACAGCAGAAGAACACAATCTAACCTGTCATTCTTCCAATGGATTCATTTGTTTAAGTACACTGCAGAGCCTAGTAAGCCGGGGTAGAGCTATTTAGCAGCTCGGGAATATTGAAATTCTGTGGCTAAGCTCCGATGTTGTACCAGAAAGCAGTGCCAGTTTTCTGTGCTGTATTCTCCGGTATATACGCCATTTCTCTCCACTACGCGGCACCAATCTGGTCTCCTATGATCAGCTTTTCCAGCATCCGTTGACTTCAGGCAGCGCAGAGCACCACCCTCCGCACAATCAGGGACTGCTATAAAATGTCGCCTATCGATCATCTTCATGCGGAGGCCTCTGTCCTGTCGGTGGCCCCTCACAATACACTCCTAGGCCAGCAGTTCTGGTGGACCTGTTCGCAACACGGCCATCCTAATCACCACCGTTGCCACGCACCTGAACCCAGCCGCAACGTTCGGTCGTCTATTCAAGCTCTCCACAAGAAAGTTGTCACCTCGTCCCTCTCGGATCTACCCGTTGATGGCTCCGCCACCAAGACAGGCTTCCAGCATCTCCACCAGAGAGCCGTTGTCGAGGAAAAACGAGGTTACCATCCCCGGTCCTTTTGGGTGACTATCCACCTCCGATTGCGGCCTCAGAATAACAACTCCCGAGGGTCAATTGATATACTCTGGCTCCACTACGCAGTGGCTACTCAATGGTCCTTCGCCAGTACCAACACCGGCTC